CTTGTGGGATGCCTTGGAGGACTTATGCATATATAATTAGTATGGAAGAATAGGGTTGAAAGCAATGGCAAAGGCTAGAATAACAGAGTAACATGCATTAATGTGAGGCTAGTGACAGTCTAATCGAACGCCAGTACCATGTGTTAGAGGTTCTGTAGACACACTTGTAAATATAATGCCAATAAAAAATACAAAAAAATGCATGTTTTCATTTGGGGTATATCTACTAAGCAGTTGTTTTTTTGTTTTGTTTTTTTTTTACTTATTTTTTTATTTTGGGGCAGTGGGGTGTCCCTTTAAGTATGTTTACTGATAACACCCAAGTGGCAGACCTGGTTCATGGCATGTGTTGATTGAAGTGCAACTGTAATATTTAGATGACGGCCATGTATATGGCCAAATAACCATAGAACAGACATACTTATGACTGACATAATTGTGACGGCACCCAAGGTATGAGAAGTGGTTAACACAATCAAAAGATGTTCTTTCCCCCAATTGCGAAGTCTGCTACCGAATAATCCCAAGCGCTGAACAGGAACCTTGAAGAAATATCCCCCCAAGCACGAGACGAGGCTCTGTGTTGAGGGTCAAAACATGGACTCATTTAATGAGTGCCACAGGCTGGCTTTTATGCAGGTCCTCCAGCAAGGGACACTCCCACAGGGACTTTGTGGAGGACTGGAATACAGTTACAGAGCCAATCACAAATACAGTACAATGTGAAACACTCCCACACAAACAGTAAAATCCCTCCTCTCTATCCTGGAGATAATTGGGTTAAGGGGCTGTAGTAAAGTTAATTATCTCCAGGTAGAGAGAATATTCCCAAGTTAAAATGTAATAAAAACACATTAAAATACATAACTAATATTCTTCATAATTAAACCCCCATGTTCAACATATCCATAGATAGCTTGGATCTGAGAGCTCAATATTTCCGAAAAGCACTCAGATCCCATGAATACAGTCAGATCGCCATGGAGTTTAAGTATTTTCACGAACTGTTCAGCATAATCTGTCCAGAATCAGTTCTATGGGTTTTTGTCCTCCGGGTCGGTCTGATTCGTGAGTTTTAGAAGTAGCGAACGCCGCTGCGTTTGTATGAATCCAAATTAAATAATGGAAGTCTGGAAGTCCCAGCAGTGTTCGTGTGAAACTGTGACCGAAAATAGTTTCATGCGGTCGACGACAAAAGACAGTTGGGCGTTCGATAGTTTTAAATGGCCGCCACCATGTGTTCGTTCATACGAACGACGACCACCCAGCCGACCATTCGGGATATGGAAGTGGCTGCAGTTAACCACAGTGTTAAAGAGGTCGAAAAGGTTAACAAGCAGTAATTGTGATTGAAAACCCCTTCCACCTGAAGTCTGTGGATAGTTAATACAATGTTAAACGAAAATCTGCACACCAGTCAAGCCATAAGACTTGCTTTTCCCACAGAAATCCCAAATCTGCAGTGATGTTACAACCACAAAGGATTCTGGGTGGGCATATATATAAAACATGGGGGGGTGGTTGCACTCACCTGAACATGCTTAAATGGGGTGCTGCTGGGGGCCATATTATACAATAAACAATACTCACGATCCAGCGCACTCTCCTATCTACTAAACAGCAACTTCAATGTTGACAGATTTTATTAGTTTTTTTAAAGGTTTTTTCTAAAAACACCCAATCTAGGCAAAAAATTATGGGGGTTTAGTTACATTATATGACCATACATTGCATAAGCCTGCCACAACGTCAATGTATCCCATCTTTGGCAGGTCCTACTCTCACAGTCTAATGTCTGCTCTTATGAGATTAACCCATTTACTTGGGGGAAAAAAATTCTCTCTGAGGCTCTCTGCAGTACAAGGCTAAATAGGGACCTGAGATGAGGCACCTGTAACAGGGAGGGGTGCAAAACCAAGAAGTTGGCTAGACACCCAAATATATATATATGAAATATGGGGTGGATCGTGTGTATTGTTTATTATATATATATATATATATACATATATATACATATATATATATATATATAAAGGTAAAGGCTTGCACTCACAGTCTTTTCAGGTTTAAATTTTTTTTAATATCATTAAAAAAATTACATTTATGAAAATCAATTTCCATAAATTGATCCTGATGAAAGCCCTGAACGAGGGCTTGATCCTATTTTATGGAAATTCTACAATAAAGATTAAAGTTTTTTTAAACCTGAAAAGACTGTGAGTATATATATAGTTCCTGATCAATCATGGCAGCATTTACTCATGGGTTAGCTCATCCCCTCACAGCAGAAAGGACAGGAAATAGAAACTCTGAAGTTGATATTAATAGATCCTCCCCCTTCCCATCAGGCAGTCTTTTTTTTTCTTGTCCTACACAGCAGTTTGGAAGGAGTCTGCTTAAGCAGGCCTAGCATTTTTATTTTTATGCTCACCAGGCCAATATTTTCCTGGCCCTGCCAGGGCTCAGCCTCTAAGCCCTGAAGCCCAGCAACAGCACATCTCTATGAATTCACCAGCCTGGGTACCCCCTTTAGTGACCAGGGGTTGGACCCAATCTCTCCCTCAGGCCATGAAAGTGGTCCACTGCATTCATGCCAGGGTTTAGCCTCTTATCCCTGAAGACCCAGCAAAAGCACATCTCTATGAGGTGCCAGTCTGGGTAAACATTTTAGTGTCTGGGGGTCTGACCCAACTCTTTCCCTCAAGTGGTCCACTGTCTACATGAGTCCCAGCCAGGGTCAGCCTCTGATCCTTGAAGATCCAGCAACAGCACATTTTTTTATGAGTTGCCAGCCTGGGTACCTCCTTCAGCGACCAAGGGTTTGACCCAACTCCCTCCCTCGGGGGATGAAAGCGGTCCACTGCATACATGAGGCCCAGCTGGGGCAATGCCTCTTTTTCCTGAAGACCCAGCAAACAGCACTTCCATAAGGGGACTATCTGGGTATGCCTCTTCTATGTATTCCACCATAACCGGGGTTTGTTTTAAACCTTCCTCCACTGGTGATGATGAATGGCATATGGGGTACAAATAGAAGCCTACAGTTTAAACAGTTTAGCCTGTCATTTAGGCTGTTCAAATCCCCATTTGCCGCTCAAATTTCAGGCCTGCAGCTGTTCAGTATGTTTTCCCTCCTCAGGTGAATGCATTAGTAATTTAAATTAAAATTAGCATAGAAACCTGGGTTTCTGTTCTTCCAGTTGCTTACATTAGGCTTCCTTCTAACAAATAGGTCACATTTAGTAGTGGTGTGGTGAGCATTTAGGTAAGTTTATAAATGCAATGATGCAATAATCCATGTTCCAAAAAAGTGCAGATAATGCAAGGATGCATGTTACAAAAGAGTGCAGATAATGCAAGGATGTATGTTACAAAAGAGTGCGGATAATGATATCCTGGCTGTATAAAGTCTGCCTTAACACCACAGTCCTGAAGACAATGAAGACACACAGTCAGAGAAAATATACTATCGTTGCTTGTTTGTGAAAATCATTTGGCTGGTATGTTTCACACAGTCTCTGTACCTAGATCCGTATACGTGATGGTCATTCCTAACATTGCATTGTTGTAATTCTTGTGGATTATATGCTTGGACTGGTGTTGATATCTTTGCAGATAAAACAAACTGCAGAATGATTGTATTATCATCATAGGCTGTACCCTAAGTACGTCATCACTATCTGAAGATAAGGTCAGTGTAAGCATAATGTTGCTTGTTCTCATAAGAACAACTGAATACCTTCTACTATCCTGCTTATTATGTGTTTATTGCCACAATGGATCCTGTACATCTGGTTATTACATTTTAATCGGTGTCCTGCCTATTACCTATCTCCTACTGACATTCAGGGCCAGATTAACATAGGGGCTGATGGAGCTGCAGCTCCAGGCCCATGCCCATGGAATGGGCCCATGTGAAAAAATAAAAATAAAAAATAAAAATTTGAACTTTTTATTTTTTATTTTTACACACTACTCTTAGGTTTGCCACCTGACTGGTATTTTACCGGCACAGCCAGTATTTGAGGTTGCTTGGCCGTGCCGGTATTGCAGTAAAACCGGCAATACAAATGCAGATATTTTTCTCAGTATAAACAGAGATTACTCTGCAATACCAGCACCAACCAGTGTGGGTCACTGTGTGTGGAGAGAGGCACGGATAGGAAGTTACAGCATATACCTGCATCTCTCTACTCACTGATCCACAGGGAGCAGCTAACAGCACAGAGAGTCCAGACAGCAGCTCCCAGCCTACAGTTCATGGAAGTGAGGGATGGGGTAAAGGCTGCAGGGAGACATGGGGACACTGAGACACTAGGGGACGCATGGGGACACTGAGACACTAGGGGACACTGAGACACTAGGGGGCACTGGGAAACATGGGGACATTGTGAGAAATAGGGATATTGGGAGACACTGAGACATAGGGACATTGGTCTCCTAGCCAGTGTCTCTAGTTTCTCAGTATCCCCTAGTCTCCCAGTGTCCCCTAGTCTCCCAGTGTCTGTGTCACCATGTCTCTCAGTGTCCCTAGTGTCTCAGTGTCCCCATGTCTCCCCATGTCCCCAAATGTCCCAGTGTCCCCATGTCTCCCAGTGTCCCCATGTCTCCCAGCCAGTGTCCCTAGTTTATCAGTGTCCCCGTGTCTCTCAGTGTCCCTATGTCTCCCAGCCAGTGTCCCTAGTGTCTCAGTGCCCCATGTCTCTGTGTCCCCAAGAGTTTGTGTCCCCATGTCTCCCAGCCAGTGTCCCTAGTGTCTCAGTGTCCCCATGTCTCCCAGTGTCCCCATGTCTCCCATTGTCTGTGTTTCCATGTCTCTCAGTGTCCTTAGTGTCCTACTGTACCCAAATCTGTGTCCCCATGTCTCCCAGTTTCTGTGTCCCCATGTCTCTGTGTCCCTAGTGTCTGCATCCCCATTTATCCCAGTGTCCCTAAACATCTGTGTCCCCATGTCTCCCAGTGTCTCCTTGTCTCCCAGTGTCCCCATGTCTGTATCCACAAGTGCCCCCATGTCTCCCAGTGTCCCCATGTCTTCCAGTGTCCCCAAGTGGCTCAGTGTCCCCGGGAACACTGATACATGGGGACACTGGGAGAAATGGGGACACTGAGACACTGGAAGACTAGGTGACTGGGCAACATGGGGACACTGACACTGAAACACTGGGAGACAGAGAGACACTGGAAGCAATCCGTCTATACAGCAAAATCTATCTGTGAGTAGTTTGTTGGTGATTTTACTGAATTTTCTCTTATGTCACTCCTTTACATCATGTGATATCACACATACATAATAAATTATACAAATTATTAAGGCCTGGATTTCTTTTCAAGAAAGGTTGCAACCCTAACTACTCTACATATACTCTTGCTTAAAGGAACACTATAGGGTCAGGAACACAATCATGTATTTCTGATCATATTATGTTAAAACCACCATCCACCGTACGATTTTGTAATTAGGCGCAATCATAATGGTCAGCACCATGCCCACTGGTCTCTTAATCTGGCCCTGCCCATGATGCTTGGGAGGTATGAGTGTTTCAGTGTTTTTGGTCAATAAGATTCTGTAATTAGGCCCATCATAATGGTCAGCACCAGGCCCACTGGTCTCTTAATCTGACCTTGCTGACATTGCACAACAGTCTGTTATCAATTTGATTCTACTGTTTGAAATAACTAGTACTATTTACAATATTTGTAACTTTGAATGTAGGTTCTGACATGGTTGACCTACATTTCCTACTTATAATCAGGGGCGGACTGACCGGTCGGGCACTTCGGACACGGTCCGAGGGCCCGGCCGGGAGGGGGGCCCGCCGCCAGGGCTGCCTTCAGGGGGCCCGGCGGCAGGGCTGGATTGGGGGCGGCATTTGGGGACTGCAGGTGCCACCGGGTGGCCGGTCCGGTGGCACACTGTGAGGGGGGGGCGGCCGTTTGATGCTGCAGCCGCCGGACCGGGTAGCAGCCTCGCCGGTCCGGCGGCATTCCTCTCACTAACACTGAAGGAGGAGCATGTGTCTGTCATGCTCCCTGCGGTTCCCACAATTCCCAGCACAGGATGTGGGAACCGCAAAGGAGCATGATAGACACATGCTCCTCCTCCAGTGTTAGTGAGAGGAATGCCGCCGGACCGGCGGCTGCAGCATCAAACGGCCGGCCCCCTCAGACTTTTAGTAAGTGGGGGGAGAGATGGGGAGGGAGAAACAGGGGGGAGAGATTGGGAGGGGGAGAGATGGGGAGGAGAGATTGAGGAGGGGGGAGAGATGGGAGGGGGAGGGGGGGGAGAGATGGGAGGGGGAGAAAGAGGGGGAGAGATGGGGGAGGGGGAGAAAGAGGGGGGAGAGATGGGGAGGGGGGGGAGAGATGGGGAGGGGAGAAAGAGGGGGAGAGATGGAGGGGGGAGAGAGGAGGGGAGAAAGAGGGGGGGGAGATATGGGGAGGGGGGAGAGATGGGGAGGGGGAGAAAGAGGGGGGAGAAAGAGTGGGGAGATATGAAGAGGGGGGAGATTCCTGGTGGTCGCAGTGGTGAGAGTGAACTCCCACACACACACCATACACATTCACACACTGCCCCCATACACACCATACACATTTACACACATTGCCTCACACACACACATACACTGCCCACCCATATACAGACCCCCATACACAGCCCCCCATACTAACATTGCCACACACATACACTGCCCACACACCCTACACATTCACACACTACACCCCCACACACACACTGAACCTTTCACACACATTGCACCACTGCTCCTATTCCCTACTACAGCCCCATATCCCAGCAGACCCCAGGTAAGTTGTCAAACTGTTCTTAAACGGTTTGACTACTTACTCTGGAGCAGTAGTGGTTATTGTGCATGGATTATTTCTTTAAATAATCTACAAGTGCCCCAGTAGCCAGCCAGCCAACCCACAGGCTGGCCAGTAGCCAGCCAGTTAGCCAGCCCACAGGCCAGTAGCCAGCCAGTTAGCCAGCCCACAGGCCAGTAGCCAGCCCACAGGCCTACAGCAAGCCACAGGCTTACAGCCAGCAAGCCACAGCCTGCCAGCCGCAGCCAGCAAGCCCACAGACTGCCAGCCAGCAACAGTAATTAAGGTAAGAGGAGCCAACTTGGCTTAGGTATCAGCGAGCTATGTTGTGTTGCTATATTGTGAATAGGAACCAGAGTGTTGGAGAGACCACCCTCCAGGCCCCATTAGACTCTAGCCTCTGCTAGAAATCCCCTCCATGGCCCATTAGCCCTCAATTGTAGTTTCTACTGGGGCCTGGAGGCGACTGTTTCCAGCAGGGGATATCTAATGGACGCTGAGATGGCCTCTGTTAGAAAGACCCCCTTCCAAGCCTTTTAGACTCCATTGTAGTCTCTAATGGGGCTTGGAGGGGATTCTATCTAACACACTCTCTAAAGGACACTGAGATAGCCTCCGCTAGAAAGACCCCCCTCCATGGCCCATTAGCCCTCAATTGTAGTCTCTACTGGGGCCTCGAAGGGCTTATTGCCCTTTTGTTCCTTGTGTCTAAAGATTGTGTAGGGTGTGGCTGGAGGCGGTGCATGGAGGCGGGACAAGGGTGGCGCTTGCTGCAGAGTATGGGTGGGGCCTGTAAGGGGGCCCTTGATTTATTTTTCCCGGGGGCCCTGAGGGTTCTCAGTCCGCCCCTGCTTATAATTTAGTAGTTGCCACTATTTCTACTGTTCATACTGATATCTTTTTAACTAATCTGAATGATGTGATTCTTCATGACTTTGCCTAGAATTATCTACTTGTGTTATTGGTTTCTACCTCTCCTGTAACTGTTCATTACTGTATCAAACAGTGTGAGGTATTGTTGAGTCTGATTTTTGCAATATATAGTCATTGTTGCAGTTTTCTAATAACAGACTCTCTTATTTCTCTACTATCTACTTTCTCTTTCAGGCAGATTTTATTTTGTTTTCTGCATCTACAGGTAAGTAGTTCACTAAGAAAGACAAAGCAGTATGAATTGTCTTCAATAAATACATCCAGAAAATAGTAGGATTTTCAGTTTAACCCCTTCAGACCGGAGGGCGTACTATTACGCCCTCTAATAGGCGGCTCTAAACGCCGCCGGGCATAATAGTACGCCCTCCGGTCTTTCGGTACTTACCCGGTCGCCGGCGGTCCCACGCCGGTGATCGCGGTGGGGGGGACTCCCAGGGAGCCCCCCGCGGCACGTCCGTCCTCCAGGAAGCCCCCCGGCCGTGTGAGAGTGGGGTCCTAGCGAGGACCCCACAATCACATGGCCGGGGATAGCTGGCTTCTGCATTGCCAGCAGGGGGGCTGCCTGTAATGACAGGTGGTCCCCCTGCTGGCTGAAAATAAAATTAAAATAAGTTAATCAGTGTAAAAAAAATATATATATATATATATGATCTAAGTATATATATACACATATACATACACACATGTACACCGTCTAGGTGTATTTTACTATTAATATATATATATATATTATATATATATATATTAATATCAAATTACACGTAGACTGATACTGATTAAATATATATATAATTATTGTTATATATATATTTATATATATTATAAAAAAAATTTAAATGTAAATAAAATTAAAAAAATAATTAAAAATAAATAATTAAAAAATATATAGATGTGTGTTATTTCGTTCTAACTGTATTGTGAAATTAATATATATATATATATATATCTATATATCAAAATACACGTAGAACAAAATAATATATATATCTATATACATAAATATATACGTATATATCACTATATATATACCTATATGTAAATAAAAATATATTTTTTAAATTATATAGATATATACATATATATACACATACGTATATATATACATATATTAATTCTACATATATATTTATGTATTATTTTTACATAATTAGGTATCTTAATTAATTACAATTAGCAGGACCTGCCTGACAACCCATGCCGAAAGTAAAGGGAATTTAATTTGCTAGCACTATATTTAACCCTATAACTTTCCGAGACACCATAAAACCTGTACATGGGGGGTACTGTTCTACTCGGGAGACTTCGCTGAACACAAATATTAGTGTTTCAAAACAGTAAAATGTATTACAACGATGATATCGCCAGTAAAAGTGAAGTTTTTTGCATTTTTCACGCACAAACAGCATTACACGGACAATATTATTGCTGTGATACTTTTTACTGTTTTGAAACACAAATATTTGTGTTCAGCGAAGTCTCCCGAGTACAACAGTACCCCTCATGTACAGGTTTTATGGTGTTTTCAAAAGTTACAGCGTCAAATATAAGGCTTGCGTTTCATTTTTTTCACATTAAAATTCGCCAGATTGGTTACGTTGCCTTTGAGACCCTATGGTAGCCCAAGAATGAAAATTACCCCTATGATGGCATACCATTTGCAATAGTAGACAACCCAAGGTATTGCAAACAGGGTATGTCCAGTCTTTTTTAGTAGCCACTTAGTCACAAACACTGGCCAAAATTGGCGTTTTTTGCATTTTTCACACACAAACAAATACTAACGCTAACTTTGGCCAGTGTTTGTGACCAAATGGCTACTAAAAAAGACTGGACATACCCCATTTGCAATACCTTGGGTTGTCTACTATTGCAAATGGTATGCCATTATGGGTGTAAATTTCATTCCCGGGCTACTATACAGTCTCAAAGGCAACGTAACCAATCTGGCGAATTTCAATTTCAAATGTAACGTGCTATATTTGACCCTGTAACTTCCTAAAACACCATAAAACCTGTACATAGGGGGTACTGTATTACACGTGAGACTTTACTGAATACATATATGTGTATTTTATTGCAGTAAAAGCAAACAGTATTATGACACTGACCGTTAAAATGTCATGTAGAACTAAAAAAATTAAAAAAAATCGTATTTTCTCCCATTTTTTTCATATTAAATTATGTTTCCTAGCTAAATATTTGATATTAAATGAAAGCCCTGTTTCCCCTGAATAAAATGATATATAATAAGGGTGGGTGCATTTACTATGAAAGAGGTGTATTACGGTTGGACAGACATGTAGCGCAAATGCCAGGTTTTGTTTACATTTGGCTCCGTCCTTAAGGGGTTAA